AAGAGTTGTTGTGTGAGACAGAAAACCCAAAGTCTGGTTTGTCACCCTCTGAGAATGCCAGATTCCAGGACAGATCTGTGGTTTCTCCTACCTGAGTCACTGGTGGTTGCAGACCACACTTTAAATAAACTTTGCATTAGGGCTCCAAAAATGTGAACTGCAAGCAATGAATTAAACAAATGCAGAGAGAGGGTCCCCAGGGAGCCCTGGGCTCACCACAGACTCCAAGTACTTTTAAGGTGGTGGAAGTTTATCAAAAGAAAAGACAAGTCCAGCTTATTACAGTATTGGGATACAATGCTGGAGGATTTCTTTCCAAATAAATTACATATACCTGCAAAGACTCGAAAAGAAACCTTTTGAAGGGAGGAGAGCATGAAGAATGGGCAAAAAAAAAAAATTTAAAAAATCCACATTTATCATTAACAAGTAAAAACCATGCAGCAGCTCATTCTACCCACAATTACACACATGACTAAGTTTAATCAGGCCCTGAAGCCAGGAACAAACAGGGAGTGTGAGCACCGTAACTTTAAATCGTGTTTAAAGGAAAAATTACATTGCCTGCTTGGCCTCTGGCGGGGCAAGGGATGGCAAGGCAGGTGGCACGAGCCTCCCCCTGGCAGCTCCTGGGACCTTCAAACACACTCTCAGAAACCTGATTACATTTCTCTGGGTGTTTCTGAGAGCTCTCTGAAGAAGCAGTGTTTATGTGTAAAAAAAAAAAAAGAAATAATTTAATTACTGGTAGCAAAGGTCCCATCAAATTGACCCGCACCTTGAAATTTCGGCAAAGTCAAACATAGTGAGGTAACATGTCTCTTTTCTCCAATTTAAATTTAGGCCTGATTCTGACAGTCACTCCATTCTATCACTCAAGCAAGAGGTACCAAGCCAGCAAAAGTCAAATTTCAATTAAAAAAAAATAAATAATAAAGGCAGTAACAGTGACATCAAATGGACTGAGCTAGACTTATGAAACTGAAATTTTTGGCACACAGAACAACTAATAAGTCAGAGTCACAGTGCTTGTTGTAAACAGGGAATTCCTCATTAAAAAAAATAAGTGTTACTTCTCAGCTGGATTAAGAGTATCTCTTAACACTTGCTTCTCACAATTATGGAACACTTCCTCTGTAAGAACTTTTCTTAAAATTATTTTTCTGGTCTTCTTCTCAGGAGAATCCAGCGTATTTGCATCCATAAGAATGTTTTTCCTGTATTTAAGATGCCTTTCCCCAAACCACTACTGTAATTGTACATGCACTCAACAGCAGGCATGCATTAAATAGCACAGAAATTATGAATACCCTCGAGCAGCAGGAATGGATTATATTTTGAAATATACAGAATAACTTATGGATATTTTGAGCCATATCCAGCAAAGCCTTTCTCCCAGGAAACACATGTGTGAATGAGGACAATAAAAGATCCTTTATTAGAAAAAAATGCAAGACAGAAATGAAAAGGTTTTGTTAGTCTTAACTCATTAAAAAACCATCCCCTCAATTTTGATAAATCAAAGTGGAAAGATGTAACTTGCACTAGAAATAGAAGCTTTTTCCTGATTTATTTTTATTTTAGCTAAAGAGACCCCATCTCTGTTACATAGTAGTCTCTGTCTGCAGGTTTTGTTCAATGACTACACTCCATTTTTAAAATTATATTAAAAAAATTGCCTTCTTCAGTAGGTACTATCTGCTCTCAAGTAGGTTCCAGCACTTTTAAAGTGAAAATATTAAGGAAACATCCAGTTATTTACAGGATTCAGGCTGACAGGCCATAGAGCTAAGCCTCTATATTGAATGCATATTCCACACAGCTATTAGTGCCATTCATGTGCAGCCCCCAAAGAGATTTGGGTAATGCCTCAATAACCATAACTTCTAACTGTGGATTGGGAATGCTCTTATTAATTTTTTTTTCTCCTCCAATTACAAAATGCAAATTGTGAAAAGCAGAATTTACATCTTAACTTGACTTATATATTATCTCTGCCTTGCACCTTAGGAAATTGCCAGATATTAAGCTACAGTTAAAGCTGCACCAAGACCATCACGGTGTACTGGAATCAGAATAATTTTATTTTACTTCCTGGCTCAATTGTGTTTTGAAAAGTAAGATTTACTTTATGTCCTTACGTATTTTTAAAATGTGTAAATTAAGAGCCATAGGTCAGCTGTTATTCATTGAAAGTAACATCTGTCTGCCCAAAGAAGCATTTCCTTCCACTGGATATCTCTGATTTAAGAACAACCTCCTAGAGAGCTGGATAAACCTCATTCTTGGCAGTTGGCTAACCCACTAATTATTCTAAATTTCTACTTTATCCTAAAGTACATCTTTATTTCAGCAAATAATTAAACAGATCATTTAGAGACCTTGTTCCACAAATCCTAGTTCAGTTCCTTGCTGCTCTCATGGCTACTTTCACTAAGCTTAATATTATCCAAAGCACATTGCCAAGTTTCATTAAAAATGTTGATTTAGCCCTTGAATAAATTGCCACTGTAATACTAGATGTCTATATGGATAAATACAATTCAACTCCTTTTCCTGCCACTGCACCCACACACAAAGCATGAGAAAGGCAGCACTCTTTTGCTCTAATTTCTGTGTCAAACAAACATTTATTTGCATTCTTCTGAGTATTTTTGGTCATATCCAAGAATATATTTTCATTCCAAGGCGCAGAGAATTGCCACACAACTAGCCCTGACATCCATAAATCTGAAATATTTGCAGAAATAGAATCCTTTATGTTTTGATGACTTAAAGTTCTCAAGTTTAGGATAAATGCTACTTTCTTAGCACACTGTGAAGTTTTATGAAAAATAGATGAAAGTTAAGACACAACTTTTCTTACGCGAAAACACTGAAAAACACTTTGTTATCAAAAAACAATCTGAAAGACAAAGGGAGAATAAAACCTTGGGCGCCTTCCTTTGCTACAGAGACATTTTTTAGGATCTTGCACCGAGGAACTCAGGATGCAGCAGCTTTAGGGCAGCATCAGGCTGGAGGTGTTGGGTTTGTGGCAGCCCTTCCCTGACCTGGAGAGCGCTGCTGACGTCACCAGAAATTCCACATGGGAAACAACCCTAAACAAGCTCTGTTTGATACAGCAAGAACTGAGGGAGAAGGGTTTTGTGCGACTTGGCCTCGAAGCATTTACATTTTTATGTGCATGAAGGAGCCGGCCCTGGCTGCAGGTCTGAGCAGGAGAGCCCAGGAAGGAGGGAGGACTCGTTGGTGCATTTGCACTTGATCCCAGAACATGCTCCCCATCTCCCTGTTTGTGATGGAGCACTTCCAGAGCTGAAGGAATTTCCAAGTTAACTTCCCCCACTGACACCCCTCTTCTTGGATAAATAAGTTTTAATTTTTTTTGTTTTGTTTTGTTTTTGCTCAGTGACACAGTACTGGAGAACATTTTGGGCAGGACCCCAGTGTGCTGTCAGCTTAAGATGAAGCCCTTTGCAGCACCAAGGATTTGGCATTCCATCAGCACAAATTACTGGAGTAATTACAAATTACTCCACAAAAAGAACACCTATGTTTGAACTGGATCGCCGTGCTAATTCTCCACCTCCCCACTTTTGACAGGCTGAAGAGAACCGAAAATTATTAGCCAAGCAAATTGACTGAAAACTTGATTAGTAGCTGGCAAAAGACTTCAGGTGAGGCTTAAAAACTTCAGTGGCCTTGAAAAAAATAACCAGCAACGTGGAAATTATTTCAGCTCAGATTTTGTAAGGTTTCAGGTAAACAGGGATATTTCCTATCCTCCAATCTAATCCAAGAATTGTTACTGCCACATGAAGTGCAGGAAAGAAAAATGGAGAGAGAAACTGATAGAATGGATGCTCCATATGCCCAGTATCAAAATATAACTAATTATGGTGTTGCCAATAAGAAGAGCCACTCTTTAGATTCAGCCCTGACTCAATCTGTAATCAGAGCAGAAATTCTTTGCACATATGAATGCTGCTCATATGCTCATAATGCTGCTCTGTTTCTACTAAAGTTTGCCCTTATTTCAAATAAGAATTAAAACAAAAATATCACTATGTTCTTAGTCCTCCTACACACAGGACTCAGATATCAATAAAAAGATTATTACTCAGTCCAAGGCTTCTGTATATTTGCAATACTTTGCCTCCATAGGTTTTCCTTCAACAATCAATATGAAATAAAATGAACTTGTATTTCAGGCAAGCACAGGCAAGCTATCAAAATCAAACTGACCAAATACAATGGGGAAAGGGGATTTTCCATTGCAATGGACTGGGATGTAAAAGAACAAAAAAAGCAAAGCCTGACATATTTCTAAACCATCCTAAAAAAATTCAATTTTTAACCTAATAAAACAGGATTGTAAATTCAAACATTCCTAGCTGGCGTCAAACCACAACTTTTACGTCAAAGTAAGATAATTTTCCTGCCGATTTAAACAGAAATCTTTGCTAATCATGAGAAATGTCTTTGTAATCTACTTCTGTCCATGGCTGTTCAAGGAGTTTACAATCCATGGAATATTACAGATAAAAATGGAAAATATGTATTTTCAAATGTAATTTACCATGTATTTAGGAAAAATAGCCAGGTTTTAGAAGAAAATGCTACCAATCCCATCAGAGCTCTGAGGCAACTCTATGCATAGCTATAAGCACCTCCCAGAACACCTGGAAAGATTTCCAGAAGCTGAAATGGACATAAGAAAAATACTTTTAAGTGTTACAAATCCTGACCCCTTTTGTGTTGTAAGAGCAAACTTTTTGCTGCCTGGAGACGCCACGTCCTGAAAAAAAAAAAATCTATTAAAGATGGAATTGAGAGGTAATTTCTTTGCACTGGAATCCCAAAGGCAGAATCGCAGGGTGGTGAGCTTGGAACCTCCTCAACCAGAGGCTGTCCATGCCAAAATGGGTTTGGAGTCCCACGACCCCGATGAGATCTGTGAGCATAAAAACGTTCCTATATATTTAAAACCCACTTACTTTTCCTGGGCTGGCTGCTCTGCCTCGTAAGCAGCCACCTTAGCTCCTGTCCCTGCAGGCTTTGCTGTCCTTTGCCTTCGTTTTCTCCTGGGAGCTGGGTCCACGATGTCTGGGCTGCCCAGCAGGGAGGAATCCCTTCGTTCTGGAGCTGCCAAGAGGAAAAACAGCCAAGGTCAAAGGGAATCTGACATTTGAAGTGTTTCAAAACAACCCTCAAAATATTGATTTTCTGCGCCTTTCTTATGAAAATGTCTGTAGTCACAAAATGGCCTCAGAATTGGGAGAAGTTTGTGACATAAAGGCATGTTCAAAAAGACTTAATTTAGACTAGAAAGATAATCTTCCCTCTGCATCTCTTTGTAACCAGTGGAGAGAAACACCACCAACCTTAAACTGGACAATCTGTCTGGAATTTCACTGCCTCTTTTGCGGAAGTTGAGTGAAGCAGGCTCTGTCCAGGTTCATGTACCTATTTAAATTGCCTTGTAAATTCATAAAACATGCTTTATCTACCCTTAAACAACAAACCTCTCTCCACTTTGACAACTACATACTCAAAACTCAAATGTCAAGACAAGCAGATCCTTCCTTAAGCTAAAGGAAAGATAAAACAAAAAAAAAGTCCCCTATTAATGCATTCAGAAGTTATACAGACATTTTAATCCCAGCTATCAACATCCTGCAGTGTATTTTCATTTGGTATGCCTGCTTTCAAAATGAAATCATAAATTACCTATAATTTTCAAGACAACGATATCCAGAACAGCACAAATTTCAGCTGGAATATATTCAGTAACAATGTGGTGACTGAGGCTGAAGCTGTTAGGGTAACTTCCCTGTTTATTACATTTCTGTGCATTTTAGGGTGGTTTAATCCTCACGTGGATGAAAGATGCCATAATTTGAGATTCAACACAAACATTTTTCAGAGAAAGTAAGTAACGAATCCTTTTTCCCCATTGCTTTCAGAATTCTTACCCACATGTACTGAAAATGAAGCAAGGAGGTAACACACAGCCCACAAGTGGCATTTTTCCATTTCTCAAAGAAACATGTGTTTCTGGCCAAGAACACTGATAAATTAATCAGAGGCTCCCTAGAGTCTCTGCCCTCAGTGAAGCACAAACCTAACATTTAATAATATTAAATATTCACCAGCATGCACTACACCACATCACTGACTTGCAGATACTTGCAGGGTGACAACAGGTATTAGCTGACATATTTCCAAGGCACAAGGTAATTAACAAGTTCCAAAGTCCAGCACAGACAGGATACATTCCTACAATAAATGCTGAGAAGGGTGAAATGACATCCTAAGTCTCCACACTAAACTTTAACCAGATATGCATGCTTTTCCAGTGCTAAATGCTGAAAATATATTTATGATAGTTACTCTTTACCTGTCTGGGGCAGTGTGTCCAACATTTCCATAAACATTATTTTATATATTTCAACATCACTATTCAAAGTTGGCCTCTTCGTCATGAATACACACAGAACAGTTTGCTGTCAAGAATCCAACAAACTGGAATAAATTTACTATCATAACTCCTATCCTTCTTTTCTGCTGTTTTCCTCCCATGCCCTCTATTTTGGCAAAAAAGTAGACCCAGAGGTGAACGTCATATACAAAACCTAAATTTTCCTAGCGTAGTAAAGAAATGTCTCTGGGTTTTCACCTGCAGAATGTGCACTGGAGTGCACAGCCCTCATGCCCAGCAGTTTTTTTGCAATTTAGACACAGAACTCTTCTGTGTCTAAAATTAATTTTCAAAAGATTTTATTTTCTTCTGTTTCTAAAATATTAATTTATTTTAATTATACCAAAAGAATGGCTTAAAGATTGAATTCAAGTAGGCCAGCATTCAATCTCACAAAGAGCAGCAGATTGGCTCATGGGTGAGGGTTGATCAGCACATTTTTGTTGTGTTTGTTTCTTTCCTCCAAGCTAAAACTCTCAGAATTGCTGAAGAAAAGATGGAATGCACTTGACTCTCACAGTACCATGCATCACCACTGGACTTCAAACACACACCCACTACTGCTACCCAAAAATAATTCCCATTAATGAATTCATTTATAGCACTTGACTAAAAGCCAAAGAAAGCTTCAGCAAAATCTTATTCATTGCTCAATGTAAAAATCTTTTGGAAAAATGAGAGACAGTCCTGGGCACAAGCCTAGCTTTTCATCCTGAAAATATTTTCTGTCCAAATTTAAGCAACGTTTTAAGGAAGGAAAGTTCCTTGACTCCTCGTGAAATTAAATTTCTTACTTTTATATTATGTGATTCAATATGAATGATTGTTATACCTTTGAGAGGAATGGTAGCAATTTAGACACAGACAAGAGTACTGCTAGATGAAAAACAGTAATTAAACCTCCTACACCAAACATTGATTAAGAAAAGAAAATATTCCCAATAGATAACATACTTCCTGCAGGAGAGTAACTGCAAGAAATGAGATTGATAAAGAGAGCAAGAAGGGAACTATGGTTCAAGTACTAGAAGAATATCTGTGCCCAGGAGATAAAAAGCTTTAAATAAAAACTCCTGCTGGTTGGTGGGTTTTATGTTGTTTTGGGGGTTCTTTTTTTGTAATTTTAAAAAGTGATATTATTTGGTGGGTTGAAGGAGCTTTTCAATACGGCATTCTAGAGAACAACTGAAAAGTAAAAATAGCTGTCATTGGCTTGGAAGAGCCAGGATGAAATTAAATCAATGCAGCCCCACAATGCTGGGGACCAGGAAACAGAAAATGCCTTTAATAGAGAAAAATGTCAGGACTCATAAGACATTTGGAAATACAGCATAAGGATCCCTGAAAGTACAGAAATTAACTTCTGCAGCCTAGTTACAGGCAGGCAGTTCTGTTAGATTCTACAACACACTTTTGCATTACTTTATTTTTATATACAGAAGTCAATTGTTTTAAAAAAATACCTTCCAATCTGCCATATCCACCTTTCAGTGTGAGAAAAGCAATGACTCTGTGAATCTTCATTTGAGTACACCATCACCTCTAATGAAAAATCCTACAGCTTTGCCTTGGCTAATTATTCATGAGAGTGTCACTGAGAAAACAGGATCCAGATCCTCTCAGTACAGCAATAAAGGGCTAAAATCACCACCAAAAGCTTTGTTTTGCCATAAAAAATATAAACAGGGACCAAGGCAAGCAAAAAGCAGGCAGAAGTTTTTCAAAACTGAGGAATTTGTTTGCCTACAATGACCTAACTTCACACAGACAGAATACACAGCCCTGATGTTCAAATTATGAGTGATGGACCACAAGCAAGAAAAAAAAAAGCTGCAATTAATCTGATTTTACCTAAAGGAAACTCAATCACAGGCATTACTTCTCCTCACTTTGCTGTTATATAGTCAAGATATAACAAATGATTAAATGGATTCAAAGGACATTCACATTTTCAGCCTGCATCACTAAGTGAAATTACTTAGTTTGATCACAATAAAGAACTCGCAGTTCTTTAAAGAAAAAAAAGGAAAAAAATAAAAGAAAAAGGGCTTCTCCAGATTGGTACAGAACAGGAAATATTTTTAAAGGACAAGCATTTATCCTGAAGAAAAACCTTCATTTAAAATTATCTCCTATCCTGGAGATTTCATCAACAGCAGCACAGAATTCTAACAATTTTTTAATCTTCTGAATGAAAATTCAGCTTTTTCATCAGACTTAGGAGAATTTGCTCAGATTTACAGACATTAACACTTTTGTAACTCCCCTAAATTCCTCCTAGAGCCCTCCTGTTAGCAGAGCAGAACTCCCTGGCTGAATTCTGCCTAACTCCAGGCAGCATGTGTTGCTCCATGGAATTAATCAACTGGACTTCCACGTTCTGCTCCTTAATAAAGCTGCTGATTTAACCTAAAATCAGCACCAATATTAGACAAAATGGGCTGAGAGGCACCTGGAGAGCAGCAGGACTGCCTGTGAGAGCTGTCCCCCAAGCCGCCAGAGAAAGGCAAAAGCAGAGAGGAAGCAAAACTCATCACTTTAATCCCTGACTGTAACTCCAGCCATTCCCTGGTTCCTCAATCCCAGCATAATTCCCCAGGGATCACCGTGGTTGACGATAATTAGCATCTCTCTGACAGTCTCAGCAGAGCCTTCCAAACGAACGGGTATGGAAATTAACACATCCCAGGGATGTATCTACAAAGCAGGATGAAGTCGTTCCTGACAGGCAGCTGAGGAAACACCATTCCTACCTACTCTGAAGTTACCCCGTGTGCACAGATCCTGGCATTTCTCATGGGAAATTGACTTGTTTAGATCACTCAGAGATACTAAACACTGCTATTTACAGTCCATGCATCTGCTGCAGTGAAAGCAACAGGAATATGTCATTATATTAATTTTAGGAAAATAGTGAAAGACATTCCCTGTTCTTTTTGTCCTGCCCTACTGTATATTTAATTCTTTGTATAAATTTGGGTTTACTGTACCATAATCCCCTGGGGCCAAGAGGCAGCTGAGACCAAGGTTCCATAAATTCTCTGTCAGCTGGTTATTAACATTTATTTTTACAAAGAATATTTCCATGGGAAGTGTTTATGAAGACACATTTTAAAACAACTCCAGCAAGAAGTTTAGCTCCAGCTATACAAAATTTATAAATTGTATTCAGCCCAGTAAGGAAGTTTACATTTCACCCTTCTAGGCTGTATTACCACTGAGTTTTTTATTTGCAAAGTCAATTCTCTTCCTGATATCACCCTTTTCTAAAATCTTTTAAAATACAACTGTTTTATTAAAAAAAAACACAAACAAATAAACAACAAACCAAACAAAAATCCCCCACAAAACACCCTCATTTCACACCTGCAGGGAAACCAATCAAGTTATGGTAAAATCTGTTTGCCATAAGGTTTCCTTCTCAATGCTTATTTATTTGGGATAACTCAGGTGCTCATCTGTTGCCATCTCACATTGTCTTGAAACTACATTGGGAAAAAAATTTGGGTAAATTTGACACACAAATAATAAGTTTAGTCATGAGGCATGAAAAAGTCTCTTTCCATCTATCAAAACACATGAGGATAAAAACATAATGCATTTTACACATATCCAAGAGACTCTGAGGGAGCTCATTAATTTTAATCATCAAAACTATGATCTG